TCTTAAGGAATGCCGTTAAATCACATGACTTACAAGAAGTGACATCGGAGGGAAAACAAAGTAAGAATCAATCATAAAATGTTCTCTCTTTTCCTCATTTTTAGCGTAAAACATAACGTGCACCCAATTGTGTAGATTTATCTTGGACATTTTTTGTTTTGTTTTTTAAAATCAATTTTATAGATCTATTACAAATCTTCCTAAATGTTAATCTTCTGCTATCATGTTGTTCTTTCTTAGTTAGTAACAGGCTTTATTACCTTAAACCATCCACCCTGCGGTCCACCCTGATACACAGAATGTGACATTTGAAATATTTGGTCAGGATTATTAGGTTATAGCTATTAGCCTAACCCTTTTCAACAAATATGCTCAGAGATTTGGGTCTGAGCATATTTGTTTGTAAAAGGATGTAAAAATGTTTCAGTGAAAAACTGTTATTTGGTTAACATAACCTATATACTGTAAATAACTGTCATAGATCTAATGGTAAATTTAATGTAAATTTTATTGTAAAATAGCATTAAATTTACAGTTTTTAAAGTGAAAATGAACAACTCATTGTATAATTTACAGTGAAAAAACGTAAATTGACATTCCCACTATTTCCTGCGTGACACTTCGCATTTAATGTATTTTTGTTGAAATAACTTCTTCATAGTTTGCTTAATCTTTTTCTAATCATGTACATTAGCGTTTTGTGTGACATTTAATGTTGTTAAATTAATGTTTATTGCCTTTTTAAAGTTTACCGTTTCTTTTGGATGAGCTTCCATATTTCATGTGTCTCGTCACTGCTGTGATTGTTGGTTGTCAGTGTGTTATAATGGTACAAAACAGATATTATACTTCAATTGATCGATAATTTAACATTTGTATAAGATAATGAAATACGGTTTATTTCTGTAAATTTTTAGTTAAAAAAAACAAGGCTGTAAAACCTTGTTACCGTAAAATCTTGCTACCGTAAATTTCTGGCAACCACAGCTGCCGGTATTTTACCATAAATTGGACTTTTTTTTTTTTACTGTGTAGGAACTAGGGTTGGCTATCGTTTGAATTTGAACGATTCTGGTTCCGATTTCGATTCCTTGTTCCTAAAGATTCTCGATTCCGATTCTTTAAAGAGGCAGAGTCAAAAAAGTTTAGCTAACCAACGGTCTTTCTGAACGAAATAATCCTTTCTTGAAGGAAATACTCCTTCTGTCACAAATACTCCTTTTGTCACAAATTTTGCATTTTGCCGAGATTTCATTATTTTTAGAAAAGTGAAGCCACACTTTGGACCGCCGACGTAAGCTACTCATGTTCGACTCGCGTGGTTGCCAACTCTTCCGGTAGACGCTTCTTCGTTGGTGTTGTTCAGCGGTTTCTTCCTCCAGTCGGCGGACTGTGAATATCGAAACTAGGAATCGAAATTTTAACTTTTGAACGATTCCGGGAAAAACGAAAAGTTAGTCCCGGTTCCAATCGATACACTATTAGTTAACAGTTTGAACGCACTTAATTGAAATGTTTACATGATCTTTCATGATGATGTTCTCACATGATAGTTCAACACAAAAATTAACATGCTAAAATGTAATGGGTGAGTTGGACTAAATAGAGAAAGAGAAGCAGAAAGCAAGTGTCCAGTATACATGGGATATATGTGACCATTATCACTTTTATCACCATTATCACAATTTTAATAGTGCACTAAACAAACTAATGCTGACCTACCAATCAAAGGTTTGACAATAACGTCACTACATCATTTAAAGACATTTTTCTATTCCATACTTACTATAAGTGCAATACTGGATTATATTCACTTAATTATAGAAAAACCGTACATATTTATTTATTTACCTCCCAGACAGCAAAATAGTGTCGGCCCAGATCTGGCCCTCATCTGGGCCGTGTGAGATCCCAGTGTAACAGATGTGGGCCGGATCCGGTTGTCTGTTTTTATGTGCACCTACCTTGTAATACCTTGTGAAGTCTATATGAAGAGTTCAGATGCAAAAGCCTCTAAATGCCATTTGAAATTTTCATCTTTAATGATGATTTTTATCAAACTTGTATATTTAAGTTCAGTAATTTCACTTAAATAACAATTAATAGATAATTATCATTTCCATTTAAGTGAAATTACTGAACTTAAATATACAAGTTTGTTAAAAATCATCATTAAAGAAGAAAATTTCAAATGGCATTTAGAGGCTTTTGCATCTGAACTCTTCATATGTACTTTTGTCTTTTTCTTAGTCCGTTTGAATATCCACTGTTGTTTCCTGAAGGAACTGGGATTAATTTTTAACCATTTGCCACACAATGTGCTAAAAATGAAATGAAGTTGACTTTGACTCTCTCATAGTCTCAGACATTGACAACTTGCATCAAATGGACATACCACTGACATGCCACCATTCAGTCAAATTATTAAAAGATTTATTAGCCTCGATGCAGAAGTCTAGACTACAGGAAGCGGTAGGACTCGCTTCCAACAAAATAACACTGAAATAAATCCGACCGTTACATTTCAACACAGAGGAGTGCATGCAGTAAATCACAGCTTTTGAAAGAGATACTTCCAGTAATGGCACTGGCTCAAATCAAAGCATTGTTAAAGCATAGATGAGACAAAATATGTTCAAATGACTCCTCTTCCTCCCTGTGATCCAGCGTTTTTGACAGTAATAACAATACAGTTTAATGAAAATTACGCTTTGGACAGCATGGTCCGCCTATCTTTTCAATGATATAATGCTTTAGGATGCAGCTGAATGTCTGTAAGCGGACATAATGTGTTGCCTGATAAGTGCATGAAGATCTAAAGCTGCAATAACCTCAGGCTGCAAGAAAACACCACCAGGATCATGACCCACAATCCAGACGAATAGTAGAAGGAAACATGCTTAACATTTTCCTCTCCTTCTGCAACTAGGTGGAAGAGTAGCACCTCCTGAAAAAGAGGGAGCAAACTTCACCCCAGGATACACTGAACATGCAAATGCGGTCCATTTGGAAATGGATTAAAAAGACAAGCAAAGAAAAGAAATGCGGAGTAATAAAATGCTATGTACAAAAATTGGAATAGGCTACAGTACATGTACAGTTCAAAAAGCCATTCAGAAACAGCAACATGTTAAGATCTGGCGTCCTTCATTTATATAACCATGTCACAATGGAGTGATAATGTTGCAGTTGTGCAAAAAGGGCTTCAGAATAGCAGAGAGAGAGAGAGCGAGCGGCCGCTGCAAGAGTACAGGCTATTTCGTGTGTGCTCTTGTATAGACGTGTACTAAGCACATCAAACATGTGACGCTTTTCAGATTTAACTTAAGGATATGCTATAATCTTGTGCCAAAAATCGTAAATGACTTTATATATACCCTGTTAATAGATAACTCAAACCACTGATTTGCATGTTGTTGAAATGTACATTCATTAAACGCTTTAAACATTTTTTTTTTTCTTATCTGGACACAAAATGCCAGTCTGTTTTGTTGAAGCAACTGACAAACTGTCTAACAGGTATATAATGCTGCTAACATATAGATAGTTTCGCTCTAGTTGTAGTTGAGAGGTCAGGTATAGGCAATACTGAATGTCATCAGCCAGCACAGCCATGTGGGCTATCTAACTGGGACCCAGCCAGTTTTGCTCCCGGTTTCCATGTAGGCCCCACATGGATTTGCCCAGATGAAATGAACACTGCTCAGGCTGTTAAATGTAACACTGATCAGTTTTGGAGTTAATGAGATAATTAAGTGATTGAATAATGATTGAGCATTATTGATGAACACCTGGTGTTAACAAGCAGAATCACTGAAGGAGAAAATCACAAATTGTAAGCCACCGTTATGGCGATCAGTGTGGGACGCTTGACCTTTACACTTTCACTTTAAAATTGTGTTTGTCTGCTGTTATTGATTTATAACATTCAAATGAACAAAGAAAAGTGTGTCAGTGTTGGTTGTGTTTTGGCATAATCATGCTGTGATCTGATCTTATTGAGATTATCTAGTTTAACTTGTTAGCAACAGCTTTGTGATTCTACATAATATGATTATCAGTATTTTTTTAATCCAAAATATTTCATAAACATTGTTCTGATCAAAACACTTTCAAATGAATTTATTTAGAAACACAGACAACAATAATCAGCTGTGTATCTCAACAATGGTGACAATAATAATCCATGTTGCAGTGGCTGCCACCAATCACAACTCATTAATGGCTCCCATCATGCATTGCAGTATGAATAAATTATGATCTAATTTGTCTATGTAGTTTACTTTTTCTAATTTAATATTCTGTTCATCACCATTGTTAAGATGCATTGACTGAATCTTGACGTCTGGGTATATCTAAAAGAAATATATTTTTTTAAAACAACTTTTAAGAAATCCTTTATATTATACCTAAAATTTTGGATATTTATGCAGAATCATAGTTATGCTGTAACCAACAGCATAAATCACTAAACATAAGGTTCTGATGATGACAACACAATTACATACATTTTTTTGTTCATCTGGCAGTTTTAAGTCAAAACAACAGCCAAACAAAATCTAAAGTTGATAATATAAGGGTCAAGAGCCCAATTAAAGCAAACAATGATCACCATAACGGTGGCTTACAATTTTCTCCTTCAGTGATTCTGCTTTAGGTGTCTTCAATAATGCTCAATCATATCCATATCAACTCCAAAACTGATCAGTGTTACATTTAACAGCCTGTAGTGTGCACACTGAGCAGTGTTCATTTCATCTGGGCAAACCCATGTGGGGCCTACATGGAAACCGGGAGCAAAACTGGACAGGGTCCCAGTTAGATAGCCCACGACAAACCCCTGTGGGCCCCACTTGGCTGTGCTGGCTAGGATATTTTAATGAAGTTATCGCTGCTCACCCAGTTAAGTTCTAGAGTATGTAAATATAGCAATCACTGCAAGACAGCAACATAGTGTCGGCTTAGATCCGGCCCACATCTGGTTCGTTTGGAATTCACATGTACCAGATGTGGCCCGGATCTGGGCCAACACTATGTTGCTGTCTAGGCTGTTTGTTTGTACGTGTTAATATTTCAGGTCATGCATGTACTGTAGAACTGTGCAGCCATCCATATTAGACATGGCTGTGTAAGTGCCACGGCACCCAAACATAAGAATGAAGACAGCACTTTACATGTATTTTTTGTCAATTTTTATATTCACTTTGCCTGCTATTTTAAATTTCAAATTAAAACTATCTTAACAGCTAAAATATGTTTCAAATTTGATATGCTTTGTTTTATCGCACATAATGTGGCGACCCTTGAGAAACATAGGTATCATACTTTTTTTAATGTAATGTTTGAGGACATTTAATCACATCCTATTTACAATTAAATGACAATGTAGTATAGTTTTAATTTATATTAAAATCAATTAGTTCAAACTTCTTTGTTTTGAACCTTAAGTAAATCTTTATATGTACTTCTGTTGTCTAGTATATTGAATTAATATTAAATTATAGTCAATTCAAATATACTTTAATGTCATATATTTAAATATATTTGTAATAAAGTTGCAATTTAGTACATTCTAAAGATATTAACTTTAAAAGTAACTTTTCACAACACGCTACAGTTAAAATTAGAATTAGTATGTTAGTGAACACATCAAAATTGTGTGCTTTTTAAAAGCACAAAAGATTAAATTAAAAAGTTAAAGTAAAACTTTTAATTTGATATTACAAAGAGTACTTTCTAAAAGCATACTTAAGTGTGTTAATAATTTGAGCAAAGTGGACTCTTTAAGTACACTTAAGTGACCTTTTTTCATTAATATTATATTATCTAATTTATTTTTATTTTAAATTTACTTTTACGATTTGAAGTACACTACAAGTGCACATTCAATACAATAAAGGGCAGACTTCATTCATAGGTGAAGTGAGTTTAGGCCCACCAATAACAGAAGGGGGGAAGTATTCATGAAACAGTTCTGATTTGTTCAACTAATGGCACAAAAATTATACTTCACATTTTTAATTAGAGCAGAGATGTATGCACTTCTCTCATGATTGACACATGGCTGTGGCAACGTTTCCACAAACCATTAAATCAGGGGGAAAAATGAATTAGTGTACACTTGAATAAGAGCAGAGCTGTTATACGTGATGACTAGGGACAACCTACTATATGACTTTTCACCAATCAGACGTGTTTGTTATGGGATGCTAACAGATGCATTCAAGACACAATGGAATGAAACAGATTTCAAGGGTCTCAAGATACATTTTTAAAAGGTATTATCCTGAAAAACAACTTTTTTTACTTGCCGTTAGCATCTTTATAATGCTAATAGCACAAGCTGCTTAAAAAAAAACAGCATGTCTCCATATCTATGGCTGTTGCACCGGTACTTTAAAGGCGATGGATTTGAAAACACCAAGCAAATGGTGAAACAGCGCTCTGTCAGCATGCTAATTAAAGCACAGCCGCTAAAATATTGAAACGTTGACCTGACTGACCACCATTCTCACACCCATTATCTCTACATCAAAATTATCATGATTTTAGCTATGAAATATGCATATGTTTCCAGCGAAACCAAAGCGAACTCTTTCAGTCAATGGACATGCAATTATCTACATTGTACGATTGTGGCCAGTTCTGTTCCAGTTCTCCAGGATCGAAAGGAGCCCACGGGCAGTGAGAGCAAAGTTGAAAGCTCTGAAGGGCGTACAAAACAGCAGAATGCAGAAGTGGCCTTGTGCAGTTGTAAAGAGTCAGCAGAGATCAGAAGGCCTGCGGTGCTGATGGGAATCCAATGTACTCCAGTTTGCATGCTGAGGGAGCAGTCATGCTGGCACGGATAAGATCCAAACCGTCACTCGTGCGTAAACACCTTATGAATGAACAAAATGGAGTCAAAGTAATGTGTGTTGTGGCAGAACAGGCCTGTCCCAGCTCTCACTCTCTTTGCTGGACCGTTGAGGAGTAGAGGTTTGAGTGTTATTCAGGTGTGTTGGCGATGGAGTTGGGGTTTGAATTCATCACTGGGTTTATGGGTGGTATGGCCTTGTGACTGAAGTACTCCACTACCTGTTTAGGCACCTCCGCTAGGACACACTTTGCCAGTGCAGCTGGTGAAGCCTGCAAAAGTTACACTTTTATTAGCCTCAGAGAGAGGGAAAAACATTAACAATGGTTAAAAAGAGCAAATCAACCACATTCATGGTAAGTTGTGTCCAAACAAAGGGATGAGGAAAGTACAAATTGCGATTTAAATTGTTTGGTGGCGAGCCAAGCAGAAGGCTGTTGAGAGTATTTGCACATTTTTAATCCTCGCTTCTCTAAAATTATTGTTTTTTTGTTTTTGTTTTTCTGGGTGTTTACATGCGCGGAGGGAACAAACCGCTCTTGTGGAGCAAACTGTGGAGCTCTAAGAGATATTTCTGCAACACTGGCATATGCTGGTTCGCCTCGCTGCCTGCATCATTCACCAAAACACCACATCATTTATGCAAGGCATCCGTTGCTCCTTTTAGTTTTCAAACCTTAAAGCCATAAAAAGTATTACAATGTAATACAATAAGTCATTAAACTATATAACCTAATAACCTATCATTTTATTGGTCACATTTTGTGTTGGGTTTCTTTAACGCACTTACAAAAATTTTGTTCATGTTATATTGCAAAACACGACTACACTTTATTTTAAGGTGTCCTTGTTACAGTGTAATTGTACAATAAGCTACAGAGTAATATTAATATAACAACATATAATTACTATAGGGTTAGGATTAGGGTTTGGTTTTATGGTTTAATGGTTTAATCATGACATTATCTCTCAGAATATGCAACATTACATCACGTATGTTTTGCACCTGTTCAATTGCTCGTAAACGCAAATATCTAATCATCCAATCACATGACAGCAACTCCATATATTTAGGCATGTAGTCTGCTGAAGTTCAAACTGAGCATCAGGATGGAGAAGAGATGTGATTTAAGTCACTTTGAACATAGCAAGGTTGTTGATGCCAGACGGGCTGGTCTGAGTATTACAGAAAATGCTGATCTACTTGGATTTTCAAGCACAACAATCTCTAGGGTTTACAGAGAATGGTCAGAAAAAAAGAGAAAATATCCAATGAGCGCCAATTCTGAGGGTGTAAATGCCTTGTTGACCCTAGAGGTCAGAGGAGAATGACCAGACTGGTTCAAGCTGATACAAAGTCAACAGTAACTCAAATAAACACCTGTTACAACCGAGGTCTGCGGAAGAGCATCTCTGAACACTCAACTCATCAAACCTTGAAGCAAAAGAGCATCTCTGAACGCTCAACACATCAAACCTTGAAGCAGAAGAGCATCTCTGAACACTCAACACATCAAACCTTGAAGCAGAAGAGCATCTCTGAACACTCAACACAACAAACCTTGAAGCAGAAGAGCATCTCTGAACACTCAACACATCAAACCTTGAAGCAGAAGAGCATCTCTGAACACTCAACACATCAAACCTTGAAGCAGAAGAGCATCTCTGAACACTCAACACATCAAACCTTGAAGCAGAAGAGCATCTCTGAACACTCAACACATCAAACCTTGAAGCAGAAGAGCATCTCTGAACGCTCAACACATCAAACCTTGAAGCAGAAGAGCATCTCTGAACACTCAACACATCAAACCTTGAAGCAAAAGAGCATCTCTGAACACTCAACACATCAAACCTTGAAGCAAAAGAGCATCTCTGAACACTCAACACATCAAACCTTGAAGCAGAAGAGCATCTCTGAACACTCAACACATCAAACCTTGAAGCAAAAGAGCATCTCTGAACACTCAACACATCAAACCTTGAAGCAAAAGAGCATCTCTGAACACTCAACACATCAAACCTTGAAGCAGAAGAGCATCTCTGAACACTCAACACAACAAACCTTGAAGCAGAAGAGCATCTCTGAACGCTCAACACATCAAACCTTGAAGCAAAAGAGCATCTCTGAACACTCAACACATCAAACCTTGAAGCAGAAGAGCATCTCTGAACACTCAACACATCAAACCTTGAAGCAGAAGAGCATCTCTGAACGCTCAACACATCAAACCTTGAAGCAGAAGAGCATCTCTGAACGCTCAACACATCAAACCTTGAAGCAGAAGAGCATCTCTGAACGCTCAACACATCAAACCTTGAAGCAGAAGAGCATCTCTGAACACTCAACACATCAAACCTTGAAGCAGAAGAGCATCTCTGAACGCTCAACAAATCAAACCGTCTTAACAGTCACAGTATAAAAGATTAGGTACTTACACTTGTCTGAGTTCGCAGATACTGACGCTGCCATTCACTGCTCTCGTTCAGACTCCAGCCAACATGTTCAGGACACGCACGTTGTTTACAATTATCGATGTCCAGACCCGCGCGCCTTTACCTCCTGCTGCACGTCAAGGTTCCCGCGTTCAGCGTCGCAACTCCTCGCAGCGGTCTTCCTCCGAGAGTTTCGATCAGCCAAGCTTAGGCCTAAAACACTCGTGTAACCCATCAGTTCCATTTTTACGTCAACTAAAGCCATAACAGCGTCAGATCAGCCAAGATAATCCGACAGGAGAACTGCAATGTTCCTCAACTCGTCCACCAAAAGAACCTCGCTGTCTGCACGGGTGACTTTTATCCCGCAGATCACCGATCCACCGACATGAATCAACAATTCTGCAAATCACGAGACGATCTTCCCTCACTGGTTTCAAGTTCAAACTCCGCTTCCAAGGCTTTCAAGTCGTTTCTCGAGTTTTTGGTAGCTAGGCGCTTCCAGCAGCTACTGTTAACGTATCCTCTGCATGAACTTCATTCAGGTATTGGTAAGCATTTCTCTGTTGCTTCCTTCCTACACAGCTGAATTGAAATTGGCGTCGATGACGTGGCGTGATCTGACTATTACGGCCGATCTGCTGACTCGCTTAATATAATGTTTGTAGCAAGTTCAGTTTCGCATACCGATATTCCACAGTTCAGTGGTAATTCACAATTCACCATGACGTCACAACAATAATGACTTTGATTCCTACATCTCTTCAATAAGATTGTTAAAAAATGAAAAATCTGTGAAATATTTACAATGATGCACTCTTCAATACCCCTGGTGTTTACTCTTATTTGTTAAAATTGAATGTGAACTATGCTCTATTATTTATTTATTTATTTATGTATTTATTTTTGTTTTGGTTGTTTATGTTCTGTTATTGTCTGTATATGTTAACTTTCTGCAATAATAATAATAATAATAATAATAAAAAAACAATAATAGACGTTCTTCCGGGTGGCAAAAGCCGAAGCGTCCCTATGGCAACACTAGTAAATTGCATAGAGGGAGACACACCGCCGGCAGAAGCCTAATCTACATTTCAACAGTTGATTCAAAAACAGACGTGGTGGAAATTCGGACATAGTTAACATGATCATTAAGGCTTAGATTCTTTGATCAAGAGACGTGCACTCCCAACGCACTAGACCGCGGCGCGGGACTAGATCTGATGGCCGAGTGCGGGCGGTAATGCACTCTGTGTGTGCGGATTGCAGGAGAATAAAACGATTCGCGGGACTCCCGCAAACTAGAAATATCTATGAATAAAACAAATAAAAACTAATACATTTGTATTCATCTGTTGCAGAAAAGCAACAAGAACAACTAAAACAAAATAGAAATGACTTATATGGCAGAGTTTCTTTTTATAACGTGACTGCAGCGATGAGCGATGTAGCCAATCACAGACATATGTGTTGATTTATTGAACGCATTGGCCAATCAGAAGCATTTACGATGAAGAAGCATTTACTCGCCGCTCAAAAGAAAGTAACATAGAAAGTAATAAAAATAATTAAGTTAGTTGAGAACGTCAGTTTATAACGACCCACGTATTAAAATGGTTGGGTTTAAATCGGGCTCAGGCTCATAATTAGAAGAACATGCACTTTTGACGACATCCACTCGCTTTAACCTCCTCACCCACAGGCTCTGCTGGATAGATTTACTTTTTTCTGAAGGAAATTGATAAAAAAAAACCTACACCTTTTGCTGTATATCTGGTGGCGCAACCCCAAACACAACATATTTTTGCCATAGATTCAACTTTGATCAACAACAATGATTTTAACTGTCTAACTGTTCAGTTGCCGCCGGCTGGATCTCTTCATTTAGTCAATGGAAGCCGCTCGCGTTCTGCCACCCGGAAGTATCGCGGTGCCTATTGTTTGCAAACATTCTGAAATGCCCTTGCTATACCACGCTTTATTTGCAGTTTGCAAATACCCACTAACAACTGAATAAAAATCACATAAGCTTAAAAGTGCTAAAAGAGCTTTATGTATATGAATATCACGGGTCGCTCTCAATACGTCTGCTTACTCACCAGAGTTCAGTTGCGTGTGTATATAAATAAATAAAATAAATAAATAAATAAAACCTGCGCTAAAAGAGAGCAAGTTTGTCATTTGGCTGTTATGCATCTGCAGTGGACATATCTACTATGGCAGTAAGTTAAACATTATTAGCCTACTTGCATAATAGTATTTTCACAAACAAATATTTTTCCACTATTTTAGGCTACTTTAAATTAAGTCATGTAATACTTGGATCTACAACATAGGAAATGTGTAAAATCGCTGCAATACTCCACTGATGTATTCGATTGGAATAATTTATGTGAGGTGTATTTTTACATTATGTACAGAGAAATGCAGACTAATTGATCAAAGCAGCTGCGTGGCTCTAGTCTAAAGCCTCATATATTTAGAAGGAAAAAAAAACCTATATATCTCAGTAGAACTAACAGTCATATCAGTATTATATATTCAAACTAATCAGTGAAGGAGACTCGAGTGTCATTGTCTTCGCTCAACTGTATGATTTACATGTTCATGCATCATTCATCACCAGCGATCTCCCAGCCATGCATGGGGCTATTTCCATAAAGAGCAACTTTGGAGCCACGTCAGACAAACGCTGCATACCTGAGAAAAGGATTCCACGCACAAGAGTCAACAAATCAAGTTTCACTCGGATTACTCTTTTCACATCCTGATAATGGTTGGCTGTTCCTTGTATACAATTATGAAAATCGTAATTCAACATTTCTTTTATCCATAGTTGCTTGCAGGCATTCAAATTCAAGCAAGTTTTTTAATCCTACATTTTTCAAGTCGGTTCACCGTACCTTCTCTTTGTTTGCTTAAGGCATAGCAAACCTCCAGTAAATGCCTACCAATCACAAAAAAAAAAAAAATTCACTTGTTCAACAAGAATAGCACAACTGTTTATCTCTAGTCACCGATTAGGTTATTCTGTCTCGCTATTCTATAAATCGTGTCTGAGGTCAAGCTGATCTTGTGTTTATGTAGTCTAGCATGATGGTCCATTGGGCCCCGGTTCTATATAAATAAATAGAAATATATAAATAATTTCATATAAATATTTATCATCTTACCCGTATTCTTCTTTCTCGTTTCAGGAACCGCAGGACCCATGACTGGTGGGTATATTTATTTACAGTTCTTTGGGGGTGGGCTCCATCCTTGTGGAATTATTCTCCCACTTCTCTTTGGGGGTTGGCATGCAGATTCGGCTAACCTCGCTTTGCTCGCTAAGGATGGGGCCTACGCCAAAGAACTCATAAATTTATGCTTGCTGAGCTGTCAATAAATGTATACTGCTTTTCAATTTATCTCCCGATTCTTTCTGGTAGAAAGTGAGATTCAATTCACACGGCATCACCAAAACTGAACAATAGAAGATTGGAAATACGTTGCCTGGTCTGATGAGTCTTGATTTAATGGATCCATCGTACTGTGTCTCAACGGTTCAGGCTGCTGGTGCTGTAATGGTGTGGAGGATATTTTCTGGGTGCACTTAGGGCCTCTTATTACCAATATAGCATTGTGCCTACAGTACAACACCTCAGCCTACAGTACATCAGTATTGTTGCTGACCAAGTCAGACCCTTTATGACCACAGTGTTCCCATCTTCTGATGGCTACTTCCAGCAGCATTACGTGCCATGTCACAAAGCTCAAATCATCTCAAACTAGTTTCTTGAACATGACAGTGAGTTTATTATACTAAAATGGCCTCCAAGCTCACCAGATCTCAATCTAATAGAGCACCTTTGGGAATTTTCGGAATGAGAGATTCACATCATGGATTTGCAGCCGACAAATCTGCAGAAACTGCGTGATGATATCAAGTAACCATGGACCAAAATCTCCCATGAGGAATGTTTCCAGCAGCTTGTTGAATCTGTGCCACAAAGAATTAAAGCAGTTCTGAAGGCAAAAGGGGGTCCAATTCGGTACAAGCATGGTGAACCTAATATAGTGGCCAGTGAGTGTGATTTCTTGATGCAAACTATTATTTTATGTAATATATTTTACTCTGAGGTGGAAACAGTCTTGATTACTTAACATAAAGACTTTTGATAGGGTGAGTATTCAAATAAATGCTACTTAGCTTGAAATCTTTTTGTTTTTCATTGCAAACATTTAAAAATTATATTACAATTTTGTTTTTTTGTTTTTTATTAAGATATATATATATATATATATATTTATATATATTATTTTAAGTTTAATTCTATAGATGCACAGTCCCCTCTTTCTAAGATCTACAATAACACATGTATTTGCAAATTCCCAGTGACTGACAAAAAACTGACCGTTTTAAAGTCTCTGAAGGGCACAAACTGGACGATGTCCCTCAAGACGGGTTCCCCTTTGGGTGAGCGAAGGACTCCATCATCTCCATCGAGGATCTGCATGTCCGTGAAGTCGGCATTTCCCACTCCCACTATGATGATGGACATAGGCTGGTAGGAGGCCCGAACAATGGCCTCCCGTGTATCGGCCATGTCTGTTACCACCCCGTCTGTGAGGATCAGCAGGATATGATATAGCTGGCAGAGAAAAGGGTTGTTATCAGGTATTTTGTTTCATTTTTACAATGCACAGTTATAAAGATGTCTGAAGCTCATTCACTAAGCACACAATTTCAATGAAAAATGGAAAGACCCATGTTGTTCTAAACCTGTATTATGTTTTCAGTGGAACAAAAAAAGTGCGAAATAAAATATATCTATCAAATTCTTCTTTTGTGTTGTACAGAAGAAGAAAAAAAATGTTTCTGGGTTTAAAAAACATGAGGGTAGGGTCTTTAAAGGTCTAACAGAATATTAGATACATTCTAAATAGGCAGTCACTAGGCTAAAATGGTCTATATTTACTGGCCTGAACATCCCAGGGGTCCGGCCAACGTTAAACATGCAAAGTCTATAGTTTGAATGAATGGCCTGGTTTCTGAACATTGATCTCACTGAGCTCATTTACTGTAAAACGATCACTTTTGGGGAAGGGGGTCATCCAAGTTTAATAATAGATGAAGATCATCACAAGGACATAGTGTGTAGAAGACAGCAATGCATAGGAAATTGCTAAGCTTGGGGGCAAATATTTGACCCGAGACCATTGAATGCCATGTTAAGTGACTTAATATAATTCTAAATTGATTGTAGCTGTGCTAATTACCAAAACAGCCCTCAAGGTTTTATTTGGACCATAATTCAATTTCTAAGGTTATGTGCACAAACTAATGACATAAAGGGGCGAACAAAAGGATAGTCAGAGGAAAATTCATTAAACCACTTTAGAGCTGCATTTCAGAGAAAAATACCGTTTTGTATTCACATTTCACCTATAGTCCAGAAACTAAATGGACTACCTGCATATTTTATCATGAAAATGTGCCTTAAATCACATAAAATGAACTTCTTCCTTTGAAACGAATTCCTTTCATTGAAAAGGAATCTTTTCAATGCAAATTTGGAAAGGGTACGCTCTAAAAAATGCTGGGTTGTTTTCAACCAAATTTTGGGTAAAATATGGACAAACCCAGCCATTGGGTTTCATTTTTAGTTTACATTTTAAACCCAATGGCTGGGTTTGTCCATTCCCCCCCCCCCCAGCATTTTTTAGAGTGTAGATAATATAAGCTGAAAATATTCGTTAGGCTGATTACCTAACAAGCACAAGGATAAAGTTGTATTTTTAACAACCATCTAATACTCAGCACAACGGCGAGTGTGTAAAGCCAGTGTGACTAAGGCCTTGTCCACACTAATACGTTTTCATTTGAAAACTCATTTTCTCTCCATTTTGGCCTTCCGTCCACACGGAGACGGCATTTTCATCCTGCGAAAATTGAGCTTTTTGAAAACGCTGTCCAAGTGGATACATTTGAAAATCTTTGTGGACTGTGAAAACTGAAGGATTCGAAAAAGATGACGCATGTTTACTCATGTGACGCAAATTGCACCCATAGAGAGCTGTTTATACTGGTATTGTGCCTGTTACGTGCTATTCACTTTCACACTGTTGCTAAAGGTAATGTAATTTTGTCCTCTCTTTATATGACAGTTCTGCAAAGATGACAAAAATATTCACTTGCAATTGCTGTCCTGAGGCAAAACATGAGAGCAGTTGCATTTTAGACTAAGCGTATAATGGTGACTGAATGCGACCAAAATTAGCAGATATTAAGCAGACAGTCTACTAATACTCTAATGACTGCTAGTTGACATGTTGCATATATATGCAATAAAAACAGTTGCATCTAAAATAAAGCTAACATTTTGTTTACTGTTTAAACCCTGTCTACATCTGGTTTTATTAGAATATGGATACAGGCAGATAAATATACAGAAAATAGCTTCAACACACCCTATTTATTTTAAGGTGTCCGTTTTACAGTGTAATTACACATTTAAGTACCAAGTAATAATACTTAAAGGGATACTCCACTTTTCCCTCAGAGTTAAACAGTTGAGTTTTACCATTTTTGAATCTATTCAGACAATTTTCTGATATTTAGAAGAATATCAGTAACCAGACAGTTTCTGGTCCCATTGACTTCCATAGTAGGAAAAAATATATACCAGAACTATGGAAGTCAATGGGACCAGAAACTGTCTGGTTACTGATATTCTTCTAAATATCAGAAAATCGGCTGAATGGATTGTGAAAACGGTAAAACTCAACTGTTTAACTCTGGGGGAGTTGTAAAATGAGCCTATTTCCCAAAAAAAAGTGGAGTATCCCTTTAACTATGTACTTTCTATATGGTAGGGTTAGTATTAGGGTTTGGCTTAGGGTTAGTTTCATGCAGTTATGCACAATTTATAGTATTTTATTGATATTAACTACATGCAACGTGTAACAAGGACACTGTAAGAAAAACAAGTGTTATCCACACCATACATTTTACAGTATGTAAATTGCCAATGGAGTGCATGATTCCGGTAGTGATTCCAGTGTTCATTTTATTGCATTTCACCTTCAGTGCCATAAACAGACACTTTAAAGATACTCACAGAAGCGTCTTTGATGGGTTCTTTCCCAGCTGCCAGTTTAGCTATTCTGTTGATGATGGGAGCCACATTAGTGGGACCGTAGAGCTGGATCTTGGGCAGGCAGTTTTGGTAGGCTTCCACGACCCCCTGGATCTCTGATCAGAGAGAGAGAGAGACAGGGGACACGGCTATCACTTCTGTTCTGGAGGCTTATTTGTATTTCTCTCTCGGTCTCTGGGGGTTTCTGAGCAGAGCTGAAGTATTGGCAGCAAAAGCAACAGATTTTGGGATCAAATCAGTCGGAACTCTTCATCTTTTGCAAAAATGTGAACGGACTGAAGCGAGCCCAAAATTTCCCACAGTCTTCACGCATTCTCTTTGAGTGCTAAAGGAATACATTTAAATTTGATTATTTCCTCAACCTCATGTCGTTCCAAAACCTTTCGTGAAACAAAAGCAAAAATGCTGAGCAATATTATGTACCCTCTTTTCCATATTATGAAAGTGACTGGGGTCTGAGTTGTTAATGAGCATTATAAATGTTTGAGGAACAGTCTAACATTTTGTAATCCCTGCTAGAAGAACATGGAAGCTGGTTCAGTCAACACCATCTGGAGACCAATTCGTACGAGTGAGTGTGAAGCGGCTAATTTGTTTACGAATTCGTACGATTTGTCTAAACCCCAGTGATAGGTCATTCGTAAGAATTAGCCACCACGTAAAATACATACGAATTACAGTGAGACCGGGTTGGTTCAAAAAACAGCTTAACCACCTTAAGCTGGTATGACCAACTGCTTTGTTGCTGGCCCAAGATCATCTACTATGACTAGTTGTCCACAGGATTATGGCAAGCCAAGAGGTTCAGAATTACACCATAAATAAATCGTGTTTAATGCCAAAAAATAGTTATTAACATATACGTAGTAAGGATAAGCATGATGTGTATATTGCCTAATTGCAAGCTTGTTTCAGAAATGGTGACATTTTTTTTCCATCATTATTGAACATCATTATAGAAATATTAGGTTGAATGAGTTAGAATTAAATGTTTTATTAATCATTAGAAAATAGACATTAAGTGAATAAATTGTTATGCAAGTACTTTTACTTTTAATACTTAAAGTACATTTAAAATGAGGTACTTTTTACTTAAGTATGGTTGTCATTGTGTTACTTCTACTTTTACTAAAGTAAATATTTATCTGTTTATTTGTACTTTTACTTTATAAGTACTGAGATTCAGTACTTCCTCCACCACTGATTCTGACTTTATATCTCGCAAATCTGACTTTATATCTCGCAATTCTGACTTTATATCTCGCAATTCTGACTTTATATCACGCAAATCTGACTTTATATCACGCAATTGTGACTTTATATCACGCAAATCTGACTTTATATCACGCAATTGTGACTTTATATCACGCAAATCTGACTTTATATCTCGCAATTCTGACTTTATATCACGCAATTCTGACTTTATATCACGCAATTCTGACTTTATATCACGCAATTCTGACTTTATATCACGCAATTCTGACTATATCTCGCAATTGCGATTTTATATCTCGCAATTCTGATTTTATATCTCGCAATTGCAACTTTATATCACGCAATTTTGACTTTATACAGTATCTCGCAATTCTGACTTTATATCACGCAATTGCAACTTTATATCATGCAATTCTGACTTTATATCTCGCAATTCTGACCTTATTTCACACATTTCTGACTTTATATCAAGCAATTCTGACTTTATATCACGCAATTCTGACTTTATATCACGCAATTTTGACTTTATATCTCGCAATTCTGACTTTATATCACGCAATTTTGACTTTATATCTCGCAATTCTGACTTTATATCACGCAATTGCAACTTTATATCATGCAATTCTGACTTTATATCACACAATTCTGACCTTATTTCACACATTTCTGACTTTATATCTTGCAATTCTGACTTTATATCACGCAATTCTGACTTTATATCACGCAATTGCGATTTTATATCTCGCAATTCTGACTATATCTCGCAATTCTGACTTTATATCACGCAATTGTGACTTTATATCACGCAATTCTGATTTCATATCTCGCAATTCTGACTTTATATCTCCCAATTGCGATTTTATATCTCGCAATTCTGACTATATATCACGCAATTGCAACTTTATATCACGCAATTTTGACTTTATATCACGCAATTCTGACTTTATACCACGCAATTTTGACTTTATATCTCGCAATTCTGACTTTATATCACACATTTCTGACTTTATATCTCGCAATTGCAACTTTATATCACGCAATTCTAAATTTATCTCGCAATTGCGACTTTATATCTCGCAATTGCGACTTTATATCTCGCAATTCTGACTTTATACCACGCAATTCTGACTTTATATCACGCAATTGCAACTTTATATCACGCAATTGCACCTTTATATCACGCAATTCTGACCTTATTTCGCACATTTCTGACTTTATATCTCGCAATTCTGACTTTATAACTTTCTGAGAAATAAAGCAAGAATTGCGAGATGTAAACTTGTGATTGTGAGATAAAAAGTCGCAATTACCTTTTTTACTTTTTCCTTCTGTGGCGGAAACAAGCTTCCATATATTTGAATGGATGGTGACAGCAGAGGGAAAGATTTTTTTGTTCCTCACACAAAGATGGCTTTAGATGGATTCAAGAGAAAGTTGTGCACAAGTCCAATGGGACCACTTTTATGAAATGTTTAAAGTGCCTTATTGAAAAGAATGGGCATTCCTCAGCATTTCTCCTTTTGTGTTCTTGTGAAAGAAAGTCATATAAAGTCTGAAACGTAAATGAGGGAATTTGTGACTGAACTTTTCCTGTAACAATAGCTTCAGAAACATCACATCAGAGTGTCTCTGTTCAGCTCCCATGAGATACTCACTAACATACAAAGTGCCTGTCACTCTTACCTTCACATTCATCATCCTCCGGGTTGAAATTGATGGCAAAGTCATGAGACACCTGTAGTTTGGAGAAGAAAAACAATCAGAATGGTTTTGTTTATTCAACTTCAGCTTGTTTAGCATGCTTTTACACTCCTGATTTCTGGTTAAAAACAGTTTTTCTGCTGTTAAAAGATAGCAATAAATTATACATGTTTCTAAGAAGAGTACTTTCTGCAACACTATGCATGAAATGACCCGATGATAATGATGATGATGATGATGCTAAAACAAAATAGCATCCTCCCTACAGATTTTCCATTGTAATCAATGGCCTCTAGTTGCACAAATTTCATTGAAATTGAATTTCTTTTGTTGACAACGACATTCTGAATATAACTGTTATTGTTACAGTTCTTTGAAAAGGAAATAGACCTCATAGGTAGTGGACTGTAAATCTGCCTGAACAAATAGACCATAAAATAAAATCCTGTGATAGTTTACTTTCAAAACAGGGGGGAAGTTATTACAAGCTGTAATATTATTCAGTGAGAATAACCCATCTTTGCTGTAAAGGTTGGTATTTCATGGGAGAGAGTCTGTAAATAAAAATAAAAATGGTTATGACTTGTGAGTTGAAGGCTGCGGCCTACACTGATAATTCAACATTTACAAATTATACACAAATCTTGTGAAAGACAAGTGCACTTAATTGTATTGAATGCGCACTTGCGGTGTACTTCAAATTTTAAAAGAACAAGGAAATAACAAAAACTGCATAATATAGTCCATGGCCTTTTATTTCATTAATGTTATGTTTCTTAACGCAATTAAGTACACTTTTGATCATGTCAAATTAAAAACATTTTTAGTCATTATGTTTTAATAATCTTTTGTCATGCTTTATAGAAGAGCACTTATTTTGATGCGTTGGCTTACAAGTTAAAGAGTAAGTAAAGGACTTGATTACAATACAATTCTAGAGTGTTCTTTTATATTATATTAAAATGATTATAAATGTAAAACAATTGCGGTTACCCTTTATTTTAAGATGACAGATACATTGTACTTAATTACTGACTTTATGTACTTACTATAGAGTTAGGGTTAGGGTTTGGTTTAGGGTTAGTTACTTATAATTATGCATAATTTAGTGTTATTAATATAGTAATTACATATGTCACCTTAACATAAAGTGTAATGAAAATTGCAACTTCATCACCATTACAAATTACAATATACAAATGTATTTAAATATGACTCAAGTTTCAATAGAAATTACATCAAATTATACATAAGTTAACCATAAATTGTTTCAGTATTCAGCATTTTAACTAAATATACAAACATAATTACAAAATGACAGTTTTAGATGTACTTCAGATGTCTTTTAAAGTATATCACTCCTTTTTTAAGTAGTCAATGCTAAAGTGTACTTTTAACATTATTTAACATTATAACATATTATGCAGAATATACTGTTGTTACTATAGTAAGTACATTGAACACGTATAAGGAGATAGGTGAACTTCTATATTATAGGTAATAGGTCAACTTTAAGTGAACTTCTGTTTCACAAGGGACCACATAATATTATGGAAAGCGTATTGCATTCACTTGAAGAAAAAAATCTACTCTGTTTTTCTGAATTAATGAGTTAATTATCTCAGAATTACAAGATAATTTTTTACATGGAAAAATGTTTTCACTCTGTTTTTCTGAATTAATGAGTTTTTGAGCTAATCAAGTCATTAATTCAGAAAAACAGACCAAAAATCATTTTCCATGAAAATGTATCTTGTAATTCTTGGATAATTAACTCATTAATTTAGGAAAACAGTGCAAAAACTTTTTTCCATGAAAAATGATCTTGTAATTCTGAGATAATTAACTCGATAATTCAGAAAAACAGAGCAAAAACTTTTTTTCCATGAAAAATTATCTTGTAATTCAGAGATAATTAACTCAATAATTCAGAAAAACAGAGCAAAAACTTTTCCATGAAAAATTATCTTGTATTTCTGAGATAATTAACTTGATAATTCAGAAAAACAGAGCAAAAACTTTTCCATGAAAAATTATCTTGTAATTCTGAGATAATTAACTCGATAATTCAGAAAAACAGAGCAAAAACTTTTTTCCATTAAAAATAATCTTGTAATTCAGAGATAATTAACTCAATAATTCAGAAAAACAGAGCAAAAACTTTTCCATGAAAGATGATCTTGTAATTTTGATATAATTAACTCGATAATTCAGAAAAACAGTGCAAAAACTTTTCCATGAAAAATTATCTTGTAATTCTGAGATAATTAACTCGTTAATTAAAAAAAACAGAGCAAAAACTTTTTCCATGAAAAATTCTCGTAATTCTGAGATAACTCGTTAATTCAGAAAAACAGAGCAAAAATGTTTTCCCATGAAAAATCATCTTGTAATTCTGAGATAATTAGCTCATTAATTCAGAAAAACAGAGTAGATTTTTTTCTTCAAGTGAATGCAATACGCTTCCGTATAATATATACAGTATACAAAAAATATATATATATTTTTACCTCATAATTAGGTGGAATTCTTGCCCCAAAGCCCAAAGCAGAGAACCGTTTGTCACTGTGATAGATAAAAAACAATCATCAGAAAATAAAACAGCAACTAATAAACGCGTAAAACAACACTTTCTACATATGTGCAAGTCCTTTCTGAAATATTTTATTCACCAAAACCCACATAATCACACACAATGCTTAATATGGACAAATACCTCACTAGCTCAACAAGGTCAACGGCACTCGAGTGAACATGGTGTACTGCTATGTGTGTAAGATCATCGTGTTGAAGGAATGAAAGAGACTGGAATGAAAGTGAGAGGGGAAGACACAGACTCAGCAGGACAGCAGATTCACACAGCTGGTCACTCAACATGACTAGAGGAAGGGTGTCATGTGATCAAAACCACAGAGCTGAGACATGAGGAGCAAGACCACCCCTGGCACACAGCTAGTCTTTCATGAAAGCTAGTGCTGTTCTGATAGCTCTCACCACTCATGTTGGACAATCAATCACACCTGATTTGAATGCAACAATTTCATTTATTCTCTGGATGAATTCTCTAAAAAAAAAAAAAAAAAAAAAGTGAGTGCAAAACAAAACTATTATCCATAGCTGGCATTCATAGCAAACAGGATTCAGAATTGCAATTTGAGTATGATCTCTGTATAATATCAGTCTTTTTTTTATCAATACAAGATATTTAAAGTGTACGTGCAGTATACTTGCAATCAGTGTTGTAGTACTCGAGACTCGGACCCGTCTCGGTCTCGAGATATTTTAATGGTCTTGGTCTTGTCATGGACTCGTGTGCATTTGGACTCGGAATTGACTCGTACTCGAACATGTTTTTTTTTTTAGGACTCGGAATTATTCCCGAGTCCACTCGAGTTCAATTCAAAATATTTTTCATGATTATTAATGTATGCTAATAAAATATTTCTTTAAATTGATTGACACGCCCAGTGATTGGTGATTTTCTAGTGCGCAACTGCGCATGACAAATTGTAGTAAAATTACTTTTAACACCACCTACTATGTGGCCTTTTTACCCTAAACTGATCATATTTTTTAACTCTAAGTAAATTCAGTAAAATAAAAAAAAGGATTTCTCTAAGTAAATAAAAGTAAATTAGGTAATAACCCTCACTGATCTCGGTCTCGACTCGGACTCGACCGTCTCTGGTCTCGGACTCGACTTGGACTCGACTCGGACTCGACTCTCTCTGGTCTCGGTCTCGACTCGGACTCGAGTGAGGTGGTCTCGACTACAACACTGCTTGCAATAGTTCCACTTTAGCACAATCAAATATACTTAAGTATATATATTTGGTTGAACTTCAGCTCTATTTCCAGATAACCAAGGTATATTAAGTACAAAAATAGTTCTTCCAATTTAGCACTTTAAAGATATTGTAGGTAGGAATTTTATAAAAAAAAAAAAAAATTCCAAATTTGTTTAAACTTTCTGTATATATCAATGCATAATTAAAATGTAAGTACTCTGAAAAATACAGTATAAAAATCGAGTGTCTGTAAACCTCTCACGACTGTTTTAAAGACAGCTCATTATTTCCATTCACTCCACCCCCTCCCTTCTAGGCTCCTTCCAAAGCCACTCCCCCAAAACACATGAACGCGCGACTCCGACCGCTGAGCTGAAGACGCATTATTTACCTGAGACAAGCGGGGAGGAAGGAGCGCAGTGCATGTAGTGACATCATGTCAGAATCACATGTAATAAAAAAATCTAACTTTAACATTATGAAGATAAAAAAAAATAAGATGTATTTTAGTACTCACTATATTTTCCATTGCCATCTTTTACAATGTGATGAAGATGAATTTCGTGTAAGATTCATAACATATATGGTGTTCGGCATGTAAGAGTTTCCATGATGAAAGCATTGTTGACCCTGATGAGGACTACACATACAGTAAATGGTTGCCATGGTTGCGAGAGAGTGACAGTCGCCTAAGCCAATCCTTTGTTTCGTCCTGGTTTGAAATAATGAGCTGTGTTTAATGCTGATTAAACGGTCTAGAGTCACTTGATTTTTATACTTTTTTTTATCAGAGTACTTACATTTTAATTATGCATTGATATATATAGAAAGTAAACAAATTTGGGATAATTTTTTTTTTTATACAATTCTTACCTACAATACCTTTAAGGGATAAACTGGCACATAAAGGAATGTGGTCTTAAGGCATGGTCCTACTTCCAAAATTCATGAATGCAAATTACCACTGTTAGCAAATGGTCAGCTTCTGCCCCCAGTAATACAGCAGATCTCGTGACTCTGGAGTGTGTGTGGAGCATCAATGCGATCTGTCTGTAAAACCCTCCTGCGATAGAGCTCCTCACATTAACATGTTTGCTTGCCTGAAGACATCATGCTGTGATGGCTATTGAGAATGCTCCTGATCTATGAAGAGGAGCACACTAATCTCTAGCATGATGCAATCTCCATAATCACATCATAGCTCAAGTTAATGTGAGCTATTGAGCTTTGGCTTGTTTACCATAGTGAAGAAAGGAGAGATTACCGAGATACGGCCATGAGAAGACTAATATTACATGCGCTCTATCCTGACTTACTAAACCCAAGCCCAGCAGACAAATAAAGTTGAGAAAATCTGTGATAACTATGAGGTTTTAAAACAAATGGCATGAGATTATAACTTTAAAAATAGCTTTGGGTTACACTTTATTGCATTAGTTTCCAATGAGCAGGCATGCACGCAAATCAGTTTGAAAGTTTGATCAAATAGCCAAAAAGCAGAAAACCCAGAATAGGATTTGTTGTGGGTCAAAGAGGCACATTTGTTTTCCATGAGTAATGTAATATTTCAAGTCTGTAGCTGAAATGGGTCATTTAATATTTTTACATTCTTGTTGCTAAGCAACCACAGCACTTATCCATCCCATAATTGAGACATAGCCACAAAGATGATCTGCATCATTATTGTAGTATTTTATTGTATTTATTATTTTTATTTCATGTAATGTTTATTTTAGTTCAAGAAATTATTTTCTTTATAGCTTTAGTAATGACTGCAGTAATAATCCTGATTTGCGTAAAGCGGAGGCGGGGCTAATTTGCATATTCATAGAACCATGTTTACTAAATGAGGCAAAGGTGTAGAGTTATCAAGCTATTTTAAAGGGAAAGTGATAAAATAATTGACTTCAGGAGGACAAAATATAAATATAAAATAAATATAAATATTATATTTTAAATATAAAATCCTCCAAAGCCCTCTGTGCCATATTTCAACACTAAAAATTTATTTATTTTTTTTTGACGTGTTGTATCCATCAGCATGATTTATACGTATAATAAAATGATGCCTGACATGCTAAACACTCACACATCTGTGATCGCGAGTCAAGCTGTTCCGACAACTGTGACTTCTTCCCTCATTGTCAACTGCTTTACAAATGAGTTAAAAAAATAGTGCCTTCTCAGCTTCCCAAAAGCATCCAGTTTACTCATTGGCCTCGGTGAAACTGGGTCACAAGGAGTGCATCCATATTTTTCAGTCATGTTCCATTTACTTATTCCAGTCACTTGCATCCTTATGGGCTATATGCACGCATAAGTTCCGCATTTGACGTAAGGATGCTCGTCCATTTCCGGTTGTGTAGATTAAAGCGGAGGAAAACCGGAGAAAACGGGATTATGGCAGAGTTGTCAATATTTACTGTCCTCCCGTCTTTGAAACGAAACGTACATACGTTTAGATGTAATTTTATATATAGTTATGTTTATTTAATATAATTTTAAAAAGAAGCATAAACACAACGAGGGGTGTCTGTTTTATCTGTTTTTGTGACTAACGTTTCATTAGTATAACCATGGAGTATAAAATTCAATATAAATTCTCGGCATTGCATTGGACTCTATGATCGGCGGAAGTTATCGAGCATCCCTAATCCTTCACCGGAAATAACGCCGTGCATAGAGCCCATTATACTCTCATTCAGCATTCTGATTTAAAACTTTTTTTGCCAAAACAAAATCAAATAAAGTCGTGCTCAAAAGTTTACATACCTCGCAGAACCTGCAAAATGTTATTGTTTTTTTTTTTTTTTTTAAAGAGAGATCATTCAAAATGCATGCTATTTTTTATTTAGTAATATCCTGAACAAGATAATATGAACAAAATATGTTTAGAAACATAAATAGATACATTTATAAAAATAACCCTGTTCAAAAGTTTACATGATTCCTGATAGTGCGTGTCATTACCTGGATGGTTTCGTTTGTTTTGTAATGCTTGAGTCCCTTGTTTGTCCTGAGCAGTGCAAATGCATATTCATAGACGTTGGAACAGGGGGGGCGGGAGGGGCGGCCGCCCCCCCCCTCCTACGGCCGCCCCCCTCCCCCGGCCGCCCCCTAAATTCACCTAAGCACGGGCGTCAGTTTGAAATTTGCTGGGCACAGAGACACATTCGGAAGTGCTGGGTACAAACTTGTCAAACTGTGCAGCCTTTCTATTCAACCCATAAATAAATACATCGATCCGCTAGACTTCATTTGACCGTTTTAATGGTCTAGTGGTAGCTCTTTTGCCCAGATTGCCAGAGGTTACGGGTTCTAATCCGCCCTAGGTACAGTTTTTTTTTCTCTCTCGTCAAAACAGAATATGTCCATCTGTGGTTACAGTCAATATCAAGCATAGGACACATTTGTTTTGTGATTTTACCGGAATGAATAGAGTCTCCGACGTAAAGGCGATTAAAGTGCGCGTCCGAGTGAAGACTGCGCACCACAGAGAACATAGCCTACAACTGACAGCAGCGGCAAGCGTTCCTCTTGATTTCAAAAACAAAACATTTTAGTGCTAGATCTCTTATTTAAACGAACTAAATTAATGCTCTGCTTAACAGGATATGTTTTATTCATGTTTAAAACGTTTTATTTTCCGATATATGGTGACTCAAGCACTGATGGATCGAGGAGCGGTCCATCAGTAGAGTCACCATATCGGAAAACATTTGGAATGGTTCAGACGTAGCCCACAGTAATTCTGACTTATTATGTTTTTTTAAAAGA